ACACACATACATATATACAAACAAACAAACAAAATATAATATAGGACCTTTCTTAACCTCGGTTCACAAACTCGCACAACCAGCCCAAAGAGGTCGATCACACAACACAATATATAAGCAAAACTAAGACAATGATCTTAAATTATGCATAGCTTAAGTTATCAACTGAAAAATATTTCCTTCTGTCAGAATGCACAAAAACACATTTCTCACGTTTCCTCTCAGATTTTTTGCCATTTTCTCAAAGAACAAACACAAAAAACAAATCATGTTCTCACAAATGAATGTTAAAGAGAAAAAAAATACTTTTAAAAATGACACGGAGGAAATGTATGTACAAGTGCGAGCATGAAAACAAAGTAAACAAACGCAGTAACGTCAAGTCGCAGTAACACCGACAAAGATTGAGTGAGCAGAGGAAAAAACATCAAAACAACCAAAGGAACGACGTCAGGACATGATAAGAAATATTCCCTTTCTCCAACAAAAGAGTGAAAAGTAAGACGTGATTTCCCAATAGAAGGCTCACTGCAGTCACCACAAAGGCAAAACAAGTAGTTTCACAGCTGCGGAACAAACCTCTGGCTTTTCCTCCCATGAATCTTTATCAACAAAAATGACCTATTGCATGTTTATGTCTGATATTGCTTCCTTGATTTATTAGTGGAATTTAACCAAAGTTCATATTAAGACCACAGGTCATTGGCTCACCTTGAATTAGATGGTAGTTTAAAAAGAAAAGTGCTGCGACTACCATCTGACACATAATGACTGACAAACTGAAAGTGCGGGTTGAGTGGGAATGTAAAGAATAGCTGCATGGATCCAAAGAAATGTTTGGTCGATTGGTTCTCACACTGATCAGTGTAGTGTATAAGATTCTGAAATCAGCTGTAAACCTCATCAGTGTCAGAAACTCCGGTCCCAGCCTCCCATCTGCTGCAAACTTTCTTTAATGCTGCACAGGTACCGAGCATCAGTGAGTGCAAGGGCACGTTCAGGATACTCCTCTCTGCTGATGTTTGTTAATCACTCTCTTAGAATCTCAGCGAGCTCAATGAAGTAGTGAAAGGTTTTAGTGCATTTTAGCAGCAGAAAGTAAAACACGAGGGAAGCAAAGAAGGAAAGATGAGCCACCACAGTGATTCTAAAAAATAAATCAATATCAATAGTTCTCAATGCAAAAGGACAGTTCAGCTGAGGCAGGCATTAATAACAAAGTATCATGACAGCAAATGTCACACAGTCAAGGTCAGTGTCATCCCAGCATGCAGAAGTAGGACAGAACATCCAACACAAGGTGCGCTTCATTCCCCCACATCCCTCCACTGAGCTCAGATACACAGGGATGTGGGGCGGTGACACTACAGCTCAGACTTGAGTGGAGCGGACAGCCCCTCAGAGTGGCGTCTCACTCCCACAGAGCGGGTCGTGTCCCGGTGACAGACAGACGCGAGGATGGGCTCCCTGCCTCCCTCCAGACTGCTGCAGCGTCTGTGGGACACTGTCAGACGTCACGCTGTCAGACGTCACGCTGCGGGAGATCGGAGCGGCAAAGAAATGAGAGACAGGGGGTCTTCACACTTCGGGACTGGTTTTGGCCAGACGATAGCAGCTTACCAAGAAGTCAACATTACACAAGGATCCTTGCACAACAGAATCTCAACAGTCGGAAACAAAAGAATGAGAAGACTAAACAAACTAAACATACGCTCAGAAATGCGTTTCATGTGTCTGTTGCAGCCGCAGACAAATGTTCATCAACCCCCCACGACATTCCACTTCAGTATGTTTATAAATATATATTTATATACATATAATACTATTTTATATAATCATTTCTTAATGCTGGGAGTAGAGTTTGCTCAGCTGGGGATGGCTTTAGTTCAAAGTCAAGGAGGGATCAGGGAGGTTGATGCCATGCTGACAAGTCCTCCCCCGAGGAAGGGGAGAATGAGGAGAAGGAGGAGGAGGGTGCCTCTCTTGCTGAGAACTGGACAGGGGTAAACGTCAGACACGCCGTCAGCCTGCGGCGTAGCTGCTCAGAAAGGAGTAGAACATAGGCAGCTTCATGCGCTGCTGGTCCCGTCGACACCACGCCATCACTGTCCCCTCGTTGTTGGCAGTGTAGAGGTGGTGTCCGTCACACGAGTACGTCAGGCTGAGGCACACAGGAGAAGACGTCATCATCAGTGTTCCTCACAGAGTCAGAATATTAACAATGACAGTGGTAATTAGCTTCACTGTTACCTGATGATGGGTTTGCTTGACTTGGGAAAGGTGATCTCTCTCACTGGTTTTAAATCCCAGGTGCTCCACAATCTGAACATGAAAAACCAGTGACTAAATCAGTTTGTTGAAAAAACACATTAACATAAAAAAAAAAAAAGAATTTCTGTTCACCTGACGACACCATTCTTCAGCCCGCCAGCGATGACGTTCACAGACACGCCCTCCGGCTGGTTGGAGAAGGCCACGGAGCAGATGATCTCTCTGCAGTGGACGTGACCGATCAGGTCGCCGTTCACCGTCCACAGACGCAGGTCGCTGCCACCGCCAACTGGATCCAAAAAAAAACAAGAGTCATGATTACCACCAAAGCAGGGCCACAGCACGAGTCGATATTCACGGAGATGTCATACAATGAACGCTATAGTTCTAAAGTGGGACATTCCTCACCCGAGTCACAAACTGTTGCGATGTCACCTGTGGTCTCGCTGGCGGAGACGGCGGTCACCGGGCTTTTGTGGCCTGTGAGACTTTGTACATAACAAAGTCTGAAGAAAAGAAAAAAACCCACATCTTTGAATTAGATTTCTCTTCAAACAAACAAAAGATAAGATTGATGTATATCTCACTTCATACACACACTGACCTGTTGAGGTCCCAAAGGATGCATGTGCCGTCTTTGCTGACACTGATGAGGATGCTGTACGGTTTGCAGACAAACAGGCTGGTGACCTCCCCTGTGTGTCCGTACAGGTGAACCTGAGATTCCACCTCCATCTCTGATGGCTACGTAAAGACATTATGCAAATCCAGACATATATTAGAGAACATGTACAGAGGACAAACAGAGCTGAATACTTTCATGTGACCATTTCCAAATAGGATTTTCTGATCAGATCAGTTGCTACTGAAACATGGTTCAGGAGCAGAGAAACAGCAAATGTAGCGTGTTGGTGGGGACCAATGAAAGTCTGAAAACCTCTGATGACTGAACTCTCAGACCCCTAATCCCACTTGTGGGCTCAGTGGAAAATGGGTTTCAAGGGCAACTGTGATGTGACTAATGAAGGCGGGTGGTTGAGCACAGCGAAGCTGTCTAAAGTGGGGGAGAGGAGGGTAGGGGGATAATGAGAGGTGGGCGGGTGGAGTGAGGGCGTCGATGTGTTGGCGGAAGGTTAGAGGGAGACATCACCATGGAAACCTACCGTGGTGCTGGTGAAGCGGTTGCTGTAGGCGGTGATGACTCCACACTTGCTACCTGTAAATAGCTGGCAGCCATCGGGCACCCAGGCACAGCTGGTCACCTGGAGAGAGAGAGAGAGAGAGAGAGACATGGTAAGGAATGAGAGACCTGAAAGCTTATTGGTTAATCCCATCGACTGTAAAGATGGTCTATGCATCTCCACTTTCTATAAATGAAGCAGGAATGTCCCAGCTACTAATGCCATTATATTGCAAATT